ATTGTTATTATTATTATTTTTGTTATTATTATTATTATTATTGTTATTATTGTTATTATTGTTGTTGTTATTATTATTATTATTATTATTATTATTAGTATTATTATTATTGTTGTTGTTGTTGTTGTTATTATTATTATTATTATTATTGTTATAATTGTTATTATTGTTATTATTGTTGTTGTTATTATTATTGTTGTTGTTATTATTATCATTATTATCAATATTATTATTATTATTATTATTATTATTGTTATTATTGTTATTATTGTTTTTTTGGTAACTACATTTTATTAATTACCAGAATCAGCATTACATATCAAGCTACTAACACAGTAGCTTCAAACTTCATGGAAAATAGACTACACTATCCTTATACTAAGCTAATTATCAGTTCAAATACATCTTTGAACTAGCAGTAGGAATTCTAGCTATAGTAACACAAGCAATCTGTTACTATACTCTCCTCTTTTCTACTTTTTTTCTCAAATATTCTATTGTTCCTCTCTATCCATAAGCCATATATGCCTTCTGTAATCACTGTCTTGAACACTTGTGCTGTGGCTCTCTTCCCCTTTCCATTCTTTACATACCATTGTTGAAATTGCTCCCATACCATTGGAATAGTGCCTTGATGCTCTAACATTCTCAGTACCTTCTCCCACAACTTCCCTGCAAACTGACATTGTAGAAACAGGTGTTCTATAGTTTCATCTGCATTCTTACATAACACACATGTTTTATCTACTTCCAGCCCCCATCTAGTTAATCTGTCCACAGTTGCTAATTTTTGGTTCATCATCATCCACATTATATTGTAGGCTTTTGGTCTTGATGCATTGCTATACATGAAGCATGTCCATGCTGGCTTTGGTTGTCTTCTTGTCATGTGATAGTACATATGCCTCATTATACCTCTTCCTTTGTTTTGTTGTTGTTGCACTTGATCAACTGTAGCTTTTGCACTCATTATTTTCTGAACCATCCACCTTGCATTATTGCTTATCTTCCATTCCCTCTATCCTTTCATATAGTATGCATGAATCCATTTAATCCACAGCTTATCTTCTTTGTTTGCTAAGTCCCAACATAGTTTAGCTATTGCTGACCTGTTCCAAGTTTTCAGGTTGATCAAGCCTAAACCACCTTCATATTTAGGACTGCACACTTTGTCCCAAGCTATTAGAGCCTTTTTTGTTACATATCCTACCCCTGACCATAAGTAACTTCTGCATTATCCTTCTATCAACTTGATAATCTTTGCAGGTATAATAAACAGTTGTGCCCAGTACGCTTGAACTCCAAACAACACAATCTTGACTAGTTGAGCTCTTCCTGCATAAGACAACTTTTTTGCTGTCCAAGAGTTGATTCTTGCCATGATTTTATCTATAAGTGGATACCATTGGATTGTGTTCAGCTTCTTTGAAGACAGTGGAACCCCTAAGTATTTGAAAGGAAGTTCTTCTATTGTGTATCCCAGTTATTGGACAATTTGTTGTCTTACTTCCTTCTGTACTCCCCCACAGTAGATTGAGCTCTTATTAAGGTTAGCTTGCAATCCTGATGCTTGAGAGAACTCAGTAAAACATTTATGAAGCTCCTTAATAGAATTTAGATCACCTCTTGAAAACAAAAGCAGATCATCTGCAAAACACAGATGAGTCACATCCAACTTTGCACATTTGGGATGATATTTGAAGTTCTTCTCTTCTTTGAGACCTTTGAGCAATCTGCTGAGATAGTTCATTGCTATAGTAAAGAGAAAAGGTGACATTGGATCCCCTTGCCTAAGCCCTTTTGATGCATCAAACCTTTGAGTATTCTGACCATTAACAACAATAGTGTAGTTCACTGTTTTAACACACTTCATTACCCATTGAGTAAATAAGTCAGGAAAACCCAACCCCTCCATTACCTGCTCTAGGAAAGGCCATTCTATAGAATCATAAGCTTTTTGTAAGTCAATTTTAAGCATACTTCTAGGTATTCTTCCTTGTGTAAGCCTTAACCAACTCATGAGCTAAGATAATGTTATCTCCAATTTTCCTTCCTGGGATGAATCCTGCTTGACTATCACTGATGATAGTATGGATTACTTCATGCATTCTTTGAGTAATCACCTTTGAGATTATTTTATACATCACAGTGCAACAAGCAATGGGCCTGAATTCTTTCACACTCTTTGGACTCTGCACCTTAGGAATCAGTGAAACAAGTGTACAATTGAATGGCTTAAAAAGGTTTCCTGTATTGAAGAAACTTTTAACAGCATCAATAACATCATGTTCAATGATCTTCCATGTATGTTTAAAGAAAAGACCATTATATCCATCAATACCTGGAGCCTTATCACTCCCTATAGGCTTCAAAGCTTCAACTATCTCCTGATCAGTTACTATTGCACAAAGTTGGATTCTATGTTGCCTAGATAGAACAGGTCCTCTTTTCATCACCTGAGTATTTATAGCTAGTAGTCTATCTGCTGCTGTGCCCATTAAACTTCTATAAAATAAGACAAACTCATTTTGGATCTCTTGAGGTTCATGTAGCATCTTTCCATCTAGTGACATCAGATTCCTGATGGACTTCTTATTGTTTCTCTCCTTTATCACTGAGCTAAAATATTTGTTGTTTGCATCTCCTAGCTTAATCCATTTTGCTCTTGCTTTTTGCCTGAGTGCATTTTCTTCTAACATAGACCATTTTTCAAGTTTTGTTAGGAGTTCTTTTTCTTTACCAACTAACTCATCTTTTGCATGGTTACCAAGCTGGTTTTGTACTTCTGCAAGTTCAGTTCTAGCATCCTCAATCTGCTTGCTTATGTATTTGAACTCACTATTATTCAACTATTTTAGGACATGTTGGAGGGCCTTCAATTTATTCCAAACCATCTTCATTGAGTCCTTTCCTTTCTCCTTCTTCCATACTGTCTCCACCAGCTCCAAGAAGGATTCTTGTTCAATCC